TTTTACCTAATTAAATTAAGATATTAACACAATATTTTTATTTGATTTGAATGATATTTCCTCTCCTTCCTTTCCCTTTCTTTTTATTCATTTCTTTCAAACTAAATATATAATTAAATTCAAGCTCCTTAATTACTTTGGCAGCTTGGCAAACAAATAGTGATATGGAAAAAAATAATAATATGGTAAAAAATATTAATATGACAAAAAAAACCTTAAAAAACTCTTCTTCTTTTCTTTTTTTTTTTTTCCTTTCTCCTTCCCATTCTCCTTCCATTGGGGTCATGGGTTCCTGGGTTCCAAGGAACCCAGGCGTTGGGGTTCTTTTGAACCCGACGTTGGGTTCCTTGGAACCCAGGCCTGGGTTCTTACGAACCCGACGTTGGGTTCTACGAACCTGGTGCTGGGTTCCTCGGAACCCAAGCATCGAGTTCTCGGAACCTAGGCCTGGGTTCTTACGAACTTGGCGCTGGGTTCCTACGAACCTGGTGATGGGTTCCTTTGAACCCAACGCTAGGTTCCTTGGAACCCATCCTTGGGTTCTTTCGAACCCAGGGGCAAAAACTAAAAAAAATTTTTGTTTTTTGTATTTTTGTTTGGGTTTTGTGTTTGATGATGAGAAGAATTGATTGACGGAGAAGGTAAGGCAAGGAAGAAGAAGGAGAAAGGCTGCCTGTTGGGTTCAATTAAACCCAGCACCTAAGTTCCTTTGAAGAATTGATGTTTGATGAGGAAGGAGAAGGTGATGTTTGATGAATATATATATATATATATATTTATGTGTTTTTGTGGATTTTGTTGTTTGATGAAGATGAAGATGAAGATGAAGATGAAGATGAAGATGAAGAATTGATCGACGAAGATGGCAAGGAAAGGAACAGGAAGGTGAAAGAGAAAGTGGAGGAAAAAAGAGAAATTTTTAAATTTTTATTGCCAAATCATTATTTTTTTGCCATGCTGTATTTCCACATAAGTTTAATATTTTGACAGATCATTATACTTCCGTTAGTTAACAGTACACGTCATGCGATTTTTAATGGAGGGATCAGATCGAGGTTAAAATGATAAGCAGTATGGACCAACTCAGGGATTTTTTGAGTTGAGGGACTCGATCGGAGGTCCGTACAATAGTTGAGGGACCAAAAATGGGGTTTAACCAAAATAAAAATTAACATATTTTCACATTTAAATTTAATTTAAAAATATTTATTTATAGTTATAGTTGTTAATTTTTTAAT